ATCTATCTATCTATCTATCTATCTATCTATCTATCTATCTATCTATCCATCCATCCATCTATCCATCCATCCATCCATCCATCTATCTGGACTGACAATAAATTAGTTACTTAGATACAACAAGTAAAAAACGGGACTTGAATGAGCTGCAACGGTTCACTAAAGCATTAACTAGTTTAATCCAGAAGTCAGTTCATAATTTTCATTTCCTGGATAAATACACGGGAAAATCCAATGGGGGTGGAATTCCACTTAGGGTTAGGGTTGGATTTGGAGAGGAGGAAAAAAAAACCATCACCCATAGATTCGCAGAGGCTGGTTATCCTTAGTAGGCTTCTTACATTTCCAATCCCCTCTATTTTCATTTCCTGGATAATCCATGGGAAATGCTAACAAGCAAAGGAGTTACTTTTCAACTTCCTGTTTAAGACAGGGGTTGCTTCTCGGGAAAGCAGACTTGCCAAAAAAATCCCTTGCATACCAAGTGAGGCAAACTGTCAAGCCCAGTTTAATGTATTCCAATTACAAAGTTAAAGACAGCTTGAGGATAGGTTCTGAATGCAACAAGGCATAATATTAGCACACCGGCCATATGTTGGTGCATATAGAAGTATTCACAGCTTACCCATCGACAGTTTTAATGTTCAGCCCTGTGCCTCATTTACCAGAGGTAAATAACAGGATCAGTCCCTTAAAATCTGAAGCTGAAAAAATAAAGAGCCTATCCCTCCCATAAAGTGGCTTTATACAGTGTACGAACATATCAATCCGTAAGAATATCTACTGTGTTGGAGCCATTTGTTTTATACAAGCCGCTACCTTTTTAATAGCAATTGCACTTACACTTATATACCACCTCACAGCCTTCTCTAAGCCGTTTACAGTGTCAGCATATTGCCCCCATCAATCTGGGTCCTGATTTTAACAATCTCAGAAGGATGGAAGGCTGAGTCAATTTTGAGCTGATCAGGATGGAACTGCTGGCAGTGGGCAGATTTAACAATAACTATAGCAATAGCACTTAGATTTATATACCACTTCACAGTGCTTTACAGCCCTCTCTAAATGGTTTACAGAGTCAGCATATTGGCCCTAACAATCTGGGTCCTCATTTTACCGACCTTTGAAGGATGGAACGCTGAGTCAACCTTGAGCCTGTGAGAATTGAACTGCTGGCAGTCGGCAGAATTAGTGCATTCCAACCACTGCACCGCCACAGCTCCTAAGACCTACTACTTAACAGAGAACTTTTTTTTTTGTCTTTTAATGACCTGATAATCCCTTGCATCGGGGTGTAGTCTGAATGGAGCTGAGTGTTTACTGGCCGGATGCCCTTCCTTTTGCCAATGCAGAGTTCACAGCAGATATATTCTCATTGTGCCCAGAGAGATAAATATCTGCCACTACCTAGGATCGAGCTCACAGCCTCCTGATTGTGAGGCAAGAGTTCCACCTCTATTCTGCCCCAGCTACGGACCCCAAAGAATGCAGCATACACAAACTCTATACAAAGCTTATTTTACTCAAATAACTTAGTCTTTATCAACCAAAGGCTGTTAATAAACTGTCTCAACAGCCTACCAGAATTCCAAGATAAGGTAATCACAGACTTACTAGAGTTGGTAGAAAGCCCAGAAACAATTTTGCAGAGAATCCAGACGCGAAGGAGACTGAACTAAAGTTGTTCCCTATAGCTTGCTGCAAGCGGCATTCCTCCTTAAATAAGCTAAGGGAGTGGCCAATTAGCCCCAAGCCTTACTCTCGAGGAGACCTTCTCCTGAGGAGCCACTCCTGCCTTTTGGCAGCTCTGCGCGCCCGTGCATTAAGAAAAGGCTCCTCCTCTTCGTCCTCTTCACTTAAAGGAGCTTCTGGAGGTTCTGAAGGCCCTGGCTGAATCCCCGCCTCTGGCACCACATCTTCTCCAGCCTCCTCACTGTCCGACTCGAGTGCCAGCTGCACAGGCTGCTGGCACAGCACCACACCAGCCTCCTCACTGTCAGAATCAGCTACAATCTGCACAGGCTGCTGACGGGAGACAACAACCTCTAGGCCACTGCACCACCCTGGCAGAGAACTAAATAAATAAGATAATAGAAAAAAAAAAAAAAAAACCCCACCCACTAAATATGTGGCTTTTTTGATGTGATTTGTCTAAATTCTACATTTCGTTTCAACTTGGCAAACGATATTTTACAAATTCCTACTTTGCGACGCTTCTGAGTAACAATTTCCCAAACCTACCTTACTGGATTGCTTGTCAGAGACACCCTCAACGATTCTAAGCAGTTGAGAAGTTTTTCTTCTGAGATACCCGATCGTAGTTCGTGGACATATTCCTGCGATGACAACGTGCACTCGTGTTTGCTGTTTTTCAGACCACCCTAAACGGGGGAAAAAAAAAAAGAAAATCAAGGGATAAACTTATTTTGGGAAACAAGAGTTAATTGAGGCACGCAATCAAAGAAAATCAAGTTATTTCTTCCGGTCTCCAGGCTCCACTTCTTAGTAAGTTCTCTACATTGCCCAACGAACCTAAAACTACATAACTCTGCAGATATAATTACTTACTTAACCAGGCTCAGGATTAGGTTATTGGATTGTACAGTTCCTATCCTTTCATTTTCTTTACAGACTTATCCTCTCACCCAACTTTAGCTGGGATAAAAGTTAGGACTGAATCAATTTAACCATGTAATTCTAATGACAGTCATAATTCTCTTGGGAATTTGGTTTTAAGAAGATGCTTTTTTTTTCCAAAAAAAAAAAAAAAGTCTTAAATCCTTGGTTTTAAATCCCTACAGAGCTACGCAGTTAAAATGGGTGCCTTAAATTCTATGCGTCTTCTATATTCTGTTAATGTGTTCTATTAAGTGTTGTATATAGGTGAGGAGAATGAGCATATTATTATTATTATTTTAAAAAAACAACTATGTTATACACATGCATATACACAAAGAGAGTAAACCTTCCCTAGTAAACGAGATAGGAGGAAACAAAATCAGATGAACTAAATCTACTTTATTGTAAGGTAACATTAATAGACTCTTACAAGTTTGAGAGTACAAACTTCCTGCCAGCCATTTTTAATTGCTATACCTGTTAAGGGAAGTTCCTTTTCCCTTTGACTATAAACCAACTGGGGATTCCACCCTGTCTTCTTTGATTATTATTATTCCAACACTGAAAGTTTTTAAGAAGGTATTGGATAACCAATATCTTGAAGGGTTAGGGTAGACATGATAGCAGTGTTCCAACATTTGAGAGACTGCCACAAAGAACCTATTTTCCAATGCACCAGAAAGCAAGACAAGAAACAATGGATGGCAACTAATCGAGGAGAGAAACAACCTAGAACTAAGATGAAATTTCCCGACAATGAGAATAATTAACCAGTGGAACAACTTGCCTTCAGAAGTTGTGGGTGCTCCATCATTGGAGATTTCTAAGAAGAGACTGGACAGCCACTTGTCTGAAGTGGTGTAGAGTTTCCTGCCTAAGCAGGGGGTTAGACCAGAAGACTTCCAAGCTCCCTTCCAACTCTGTTATTCTGTTATTTCATAGGCAACATCTCCTCTCCCTGATCCTCAAGATTATCCATGCATCCATTACATAGTCATACATATGAAGATTAGTCTAGAATGCTCACCACTGCACAAGTAATGTTATAATAAACATGAGAAAACAAATATCAGCACTTCAGTTGTCCCTTTTCTCAACAATAAACAAAAAATAGTGGATACTGATTTGGGTATCTCTAAAATGTTAATTCTAGAGGCATTACAGATTTATTTCTTCCCTAACGTTAAAACGATTGCATTTGAATTACCACTGAAAAGGACATCCATACTCAGAAATGTTAGCTGATATTAATTTTTATATATGATTAGAAACCCCTAACCCATTTCCTGAAACACTCAGTCTTTGGAACTTCAAAAAAATTCTCAATTTTTGCCCACCGAGAAGAATCTAACTTACTTTTCCATCTTAAAGCAGCTCTTGAGTCCCATGCCATTGCAAATAATAATAATGAATCTATTCCAGATGGTTAGGAGGTGCTTTGAATCCAAAGACTTTCTCAATATACTTCTTGAAAAGCCCTCTGGATACCATCATTTGAGTGCCACCAACTTAAGATTTTGTTTATTTGTTTAAATTGAGAAAAAAGAACCCATGGAGGAGAAATTATAAAGTTAATACCACTTTATAATGCCTTGGTAAGGCCACACTTGGAATACCGCATTCAGTTTTGGTCGCCACGATGTAAAAAAGATGTGGAGACTCTAGAAAGAGTGCAGAGAAGAGCAACAAAGATGATTAGGGGACTGGAGGCTAAAACATATGAAGAACGGTTGCAGGAACTGGGTATGTCTAGTTTAATGAAAAGAAGGTCTAGGGGAGACATGATAGCAGTGTTCCAATATCTCAGGGGCTTCCATAAAGAAGAGGGAATCAAACTATTGACAAATTATAGGAGAGAAGCAACCTAGAACTAAGGAGAAATTTCCTGACAGTGAGAACAATTAATCAGTGGAACGACTTGCCTCCAGAAGTTGTAAATGCTCCAACACTGGAAGTTTTAAAGAAGAGGTTGGATAACCGTTTGTCTGAAGTGGTGTAGGCTTTCCTGCCTAAGCAGGGGGTTGGACTAGAAGACCTCCAAGGTCCCTTCCAACTATTCTATTCTATTCTATTCTATTCTATTCTATTCTATTCTATTCTTTCTATTCTATTCTATTCTATTCTATTCTATTCTCTATTCTATTCCAACCTATTCTACTCCAACCTACTCTACTCTACTCTACTCTACTCTACTCTACTCTACTCTACTCTACTCTACTCTACTCTACTCTACTCTACTCTACATTCTATTCTATTCTATTCTATTCTATTCTATATTCTATTCTATTCTATTCTATTCTATTCTTATTCTATTCTATTCTATTCTATTCTATTCTATTCTATTCTATTCTAGATTCTCAGTAGTAAATTTCCCCACTATAGCTTTTCTCCTAATCTGGCAGGAGAATTTGAAGCCCTAGATTTCTGGTCTAACTCAACATTTTGCATTCAGAATATTAAGTTTCAACTCACAGGCTAAATTTCCCTGCTGGAAATTATGGTGTGTGTTTACACATGTACTAAGAAATGCAAAATATTCTGTACATACACTGCCAAAAAATATTTAAACAGATGTTCACGTTTTAGCGCAAAACTATTTTAAGATCCCTAATATCTATATCTATATATATATATATATACAGCAGCTTTCCCAATAATGTTTACTTTAAATAAACATAGAGGGCTGCCAAATTTACATGTGAAAAATGAAACTTCTGAGCTGCTTATTTGTTCATTTCTCTTCTGTGGCTGCTCTGAGCTTGCTTTAAAATTGTGACCAACAACAAAGGTTATACCACAATAAGAAAATATGCCAGGTTTAATTTAATGGAAGACGCCACAGCCTGCCAAACTATTATCAGAACATTAGATATCTATTATCGTATATTTCAGACTATAAGACGCACCGGACTATAAGACGCATCTAAATTTACAGGAGGAAAACAAGAAAAAAATAGTTTTTGGCCTCTGTGCGTCGGATTTTTGCCCTCCCCAGCCCCCAGAAGCACTTTGCAGTGCTCCGCAAGGCCCGTTTTCATGAAAAATGTGCCCATTTTTGGCCTGCAGAGTGCTTCTGGGGGCCGGGAAGGGCAAAAACGTGATGTGCGGAGGGTTTGGGAGCCCAAAAAATGGGGCCCTTTTCAGCAAAAATGGACCGTGAGGAGCTCTGCAGAGTGCTTCTAGGGCAGTGGTGAAATCTGAACCGGTTTGCTACTGGTTCGTTGGCCGCTACTGTGCATGTGCAGTGAAAGGAGGCTTCGGAAGGTAAGTAGAACAGCGAGGTGGGGGGGATCAGCTGTGCCGCATGTGAGAGAAAAAATTCCCTCACAGTTGCTGTGCCTATTAATGGCTTTTGGCTTAGACAATTAAATAAGCCAATCGGAGAGCAGCTCCTGGCTTTGAATCTCCCGGGCTTTTCTTTGCCCTCCCCTAACTGCCACTGTGACAGTATAAAAGGAGATGCTTGTCAGCAGACATTTTAGGTTCTTCGGATCTTCGGAGCTGACAGGACACTTAAGAAAGAGAATGACATCTAATATTCTTTTTGAATAGACCTTGTTTTATTTTATGTAAATAAAAACAGTTTAGTGTAAACTGCTTGTGAGGCTCATTTGTTCTAGTAGATTGTAAGAGATAAGGTTACGGTCCATCGAGGCCCCCTCCATCACACCGCGTGATTTAGCTTCGCTAGAAAGCAGGATTTCCTGCTTTCAACCGAACCGGTAGTTTTTTTTTACTACCAGTTTGCCCGAATCTGTAGTTTTTATCACTACCAGTTAACATGAACCGGAGCGAACCAGTAGCATTTCACCCCTGTTCTGGGAGCCTGTGAGGGTGAAAATGCAACGCACGGAGGGTTCGTGAGGGCAAGAACGCCCATATTCGGTCTATAAGATGCACCTAAATTTTCACCCACTTTTGGGGGGGGAAAGGTGCGTCTTATACTCTGAAAAATACGGTAGCTATAATATTGGGGTAGCTTCAGATTGCCTATTTCCAGTCATTCTTATCAGATCTGGATTTTTTCCACCCTTTTAAGCCTATAATACTGTAATTTACCACAGGATTTTTATGATGGAAAGGGACAGAGCTCAACTGTACACAGGGAAAGAAATTAAGGCAGTCTAACATGTCCTGCCTCGCCATAGCTAGCTTCAATGAACACACGTACGCCCTTTCAACCTTACTACCTATTACCTTGTAAGCTGTATCAGAAGGCAAACATCCTTCATAATGTTGATTCTCCATTTACAACCACATCATTGCATGTACAACTAGAGTTCAAAGCCATTCGATTCAGGGAGGGCGAGAGGAACAGTTTTAACCTCTAGACCACTTCACATTTTTTTTATATATCTCCATTGATCAAAAGGGTCTGCATAATGCAAATGCACAAAGCCAATTATGGAGCGCAAAAGTCAGAAGGCGCTCCTCATTAGCGCTGGAGAAGAAAGTGAGTATTTCACGTGTCAATAGTAATGGCCAACTCAGCATTTTCCGGTCACTGTCCAGGAACCTCTAGAGAGCCGCAACCTAACTTCCAAGCCCAGTTAAGGAAAACAATGTAAAACATCCATGCATTTGTGCTGTTATGTGTAGTGATATCCAAATCTACCACTTTGTGTAATCTTAATATTTTTATTAGAGTAACTACCCTGTTTCCCCCAAAATAAGACATCCCCTAATAATAAGACCAATCGGGCTTTTGAGCGCAAGGCAATCAGGCCAAGGGCTTAAATCAGGGTTCAAAAAAATATAAGAC